AACGGAGAATTTCATCCGAATCGGCTGAAGCGTTTCCAAGATATCAATAAAAAACTCCTCTGTTTTTCAGCTTGAACACCCTTTTCAGACCCATGTTCATGTAAACTTTTTCTGTATTTTATGAAGAGGAATCTCCCCTAGGCTTTCAACATCTCAACTCTGAAAAACCCTGTATATTGACATCCCATCTATATACATACCCGATAGTAAAATATCGTCTGAATTCCAAAGCAAGGATCTTGAAATGCTCATATTTAGAGCTCAACGGTAGATATATTCTCTGTATAGAGATCTCAGTGTATTCTTAACAATATGCATCATTCTTGGATATAGTGTTCAAAATAGAGTCAAACTGAAAAATTCATTCAAATCGGCTGAAGCATTTTCAAGATCTTAATAAAAATCTCCTCTGTTTTTTTCCAATCCTACAATTCATTCTGTAACATATCTGTAACATATCTAGTATTTGTCAGTTTTCTACTGAATGAAGTCATATCAGTTCAGTGGCGTTATCAAAGATTACAACAAATAACATTCTTATCTGAAATATCTTCGAGTCGTCATCGATAGGATGGCACTAACAATAATAAAATGGATCACAATTCGAACGTGTTCATTTTATTAATGACTGAGTCTGTCAACTCTGATGAATTAAAGTGATTTTTCAGAGGATTTATTATCATGAACTGCTGCTGAAAGTTGTTATTGTATAGATAAGAAATACATTATGTCATGATTTCAATTTTCTGTTACAGTCATCTGAACAAAAGTTGAAGTCACTTTGAAATTAGTGTTGCACATATGCAACAACAAGAGGAATCTCCCCTAGGATTTCAACATCACAACTCTGAAAAACCCTCTGTATATTGACATCCGACCCGATAGTAAAATATCGTCTGAATTCCAAAGCAAGGATCTTGAAATGCTCAAATTTAGAGCTCAACGGTAGATATATTCTCTGTATAGATATCTCAGTGTATTCTCAACAATATGCATCATTCTTCGATATAGCGTTCAAAATAGTGTCAAACTGAAAAATGTATTCAAATCGGCTGAAGCATTTTCAAGATCTTCATAAAAATCTCTTTTGTTTTTTATTAACCCTTCAATTCATTCTGTTACATATCTGTAACATATCTAGCATTTGTCAGTTTTCTACTAAATGAAGGCATATCAGTTCAGTGGCGTTATTAAAGATTACAATACATAACATTCTCATTTGAAATATCTTCGAGTCGTCATCGATAGGATGTCACTAATAATATTAAAATGAATGGCAAATCGAACGTGTTCATTTTATTAATGACTGAGTCTGTCAACTCTGATAAATAAAAGTGATTTTTCAGAATATTTATTTTCCTACAAGCGTGCGTGATTCACCCTATACCCGCACGCAATTTAGTGTCATTTTCCCGCAACAGTGCGGGAAAACAAAGATATGATAGAATCTCTAATAATATAAGTGATTGGTGGTGGAATATAAAAGTTTAAGTTTGTTTGTTGCAATATTCAGTATGTATGTTCAGAATCATCCATCAAATTGCAATATTCATTGTGAAAATTAAGAAATATTGAGAAATAAAAACGTATTATTGTAAAAATCCCCCTATAGATTTGGATTGATCTGATGGAAAACGGTTATTGTTGTCGAAGTGACAGACACAGCGTTACTGTCATTTTCGATTCAGTGGAACTGCCTCAATGTGCATGATCAAAAACTTCTAGCTATAGGAATTCGATACAGATGCGTTATTACCAACGAAGTCTTGAGAAAGGTATGAGAAGCTATACACGCGATTTATTGAATGGTGCAACAATAATGAAATGAAAATACCAAATGAAGAATAGGTATTTTTGGCTCATTTCATAAAAGTGTCTGAAACCTAGACACCAAACTCCTTATGGGCCTTCTGGATTCCGCAATGAACCAACATAATGCGTCAAACCGTAAGTTCACAATTGCTATTACTGATAATTAGTAGATAGAAAATATATTTCTCTTGTTAGCTGTTCCTATTTGCATGAATAATTAATTGAACGAATCAATCAATTTCCTACGCTTGTAGAAAAAATATTGTTCCTAACTCATGCGGAAAGTGTCTTTCCCGCACTCGACTGCTTGCCCGAACTCCGCTTCGCGTCGTTCGTGTCAACGGCAGTCGCGTGCGGGAAAGAATAACTTTCCGCACTTGTTAGGAAAATTACTATTTCATGAACTGCTGCTGAAAGTTGTTATTGTATAGATAAGAAATACATTATGTCATGATTTTAATTTTCTGTTACAGTCATCTGAACAAAAGTTGAAAACACTTTGAAATTAGTGTTGCACATTTGCAACAACATGCTGTACATGGTGGCTGGTATTCGAGACTCATCATTGGGCTCTCATAAACCATAAGAAATACAGGGTCGGTTGATCGATGGAAAAGTTGCATAATTTCATATCAAACATAATGCCGTTTTGAAATTTGGAAAATTTCGAATACTTCCAGAGATATAGAAAAAATCAAAAATGTCCTCAGACCTTTTTAATTCATCTTATGTTATTTGAAAAAAATTAATCGATACAAATGACATTTTTTCGATGTCACTTTTTCTTCCCTACGAGTTGGTGATTTCAAATTTGAAACCCGACGTTTCATCTTCCAGAAACCATCATCAACCTATCAATTATACATTTTTCATTGAATATTCCGTTCAAAAAAATGTTCCGTTTCTCATTGAATACTATCAATTATAGATTTTTCAATCATGTTAACCATGCATAATGTTTGAGAGAAAAAAATATTAAAATAGAAGTTCGATTTTTTCCGATGATTTTCACATGTGGAATAGAAATGCTCTTCAGACAAAATCAAGAAAAATCATGTTAGGTTAACTTGAACACCTTTTTCGGGCACATGTTCATATAAACTTCTTTATATTTTGTTGAGAGTAATCTCCTCTAGGCTTTTATCTTCACAACTCTGAAACACTCTATATATTGAGATACCATCTAGTACATACCCTATAGTATAATATCGTTTGAATTTTGAATCAAGGAGTTCGAACTGCTCAAATCTAGAGGTAAACGGTAGATTTATTCTCTGTATAGAGATCTATTTTTGATTTATATGAATGATCTAAACAATATGCATAACTATTAGAAATAGCGTTCAAAATAGAGTCAAACTGAAAATTCCATCCAGATCCTTAAGCGTTTTCAAGATATTAATAAGAAACTCATTTGTTTTTTCCAACTTGAACAACCTTTTTGGCCCCATATTCATTTTTTTTATACTTTGTTGAGAGGAATCTCTCCTAGGCTCTTGTCATCACAACTTCGAAACACCCTGCATATTGACATACCATCTTTGAACATACCAGATAGTGAAATATCGTCTGATTTCCAAAGCAAGGAGTTCGAAATGCTTAAATCTAGAGCTCGACGGTAGATATGTTTTCTGTATTGAGATGTCAGTGTATTTGTAAGTTTTGCCTGATTGATTGTCTTTATTACCCCAAGAAACATATCTGTTTATAATGGGGAAACATGAACACAAATAAGAAAAATCACTCACTCAGTGGAAACAAATTCATACTTTTCCATAAGATGAAAGATATGATAGATAGATAGATAGATAGATAGATAGATAGATAGATAGATAGATAGATAGATAGATAGATAGATAGATAGATAGATAGATAGATAGATAGATAGATAGATAGATAGATAGATAGATAGATAGATAGATAGATAGATAGATAGATAGATAGATAGATAGATAGATAGATAGATAGATAGATAGATAGATAGATAGATAGATAGATAGATAGATAGATAGATAGATAGATAGATAGATAGATAGATAGATAGATAGATAGATAGATAGATAGATAGATAGATAGATAGATAGATAGATAGATAGATAGATAGATAGATAGATAGATAGATAGATAGATAGATAGATAGATAGATAGATAGATAGATAGATAGATAGATAGATAGATAGATAGATAGATAGATAGATAGATAGATAGATAGATAGATAGATAGATAGATAGATAGATAGATAGATAGATAGATAGATAGATAGATAGATAGATAGATAGATAGATAGATAGATAGATAGATAGATAGATAGATAGATAGATAGATAGATAGATAGATAGATAGATAGATAGATAGATAGATAGATAGATAGATAGATAGATAGATAGATAGATAGATAGATAGATAGATAGATAGATAGATAGATAGATAGATAGATAGATAGATAGATAGATAGATAGATAGATAGATAGATAGATAGATAGATAGATAGATAGATAGATAGATAGATAGATAGATAGATAGATAGATAGATAGATAGATAGATAGATAGATAGATAGATAGATAGATAGATAGATAGATAGATAGATAGATAGATAGATAGATAGATAGATAGATAGATAGATAGATAGATAGATAGATAGATAGATAGATAGATAGATAGATAGATAGATAGATAGATAGATAGATAGATAGATAGATAGATAGATAGATAGATAGATAGATAGATAGATAGATAGATAGATAGATAGATAGATAGATAGATAGATAGATAGATAGATAGATAGATAGATAGATCCCCTCAGGGGGCTCACACGTGTCTGAGCACGGGCTTGGCGATCCCGAGGTCCCCTAGCTGATTCTGATATTGTTTCAACTTGTCTAGTATCAGAATCCTTCCATTTTTATCTTTTCTGTCGGTCTACCTTGACCAAACCCCTTTTTTTTCTGGCCCCGACGCTATTAGGTTTCGAGGGCTAGGGGTCTCTCTGTTTCCTGCTTTCTTCTCTACTCTACGGAACTCAAGGTGTTAAACGAACCGTGCCGATGAGTGAATGGCTACACGCAGATAGTCGCGAACGGTGTCCTGCGAGTACCAGGCTACCCTCGCTTGAAAATAGCCTTAGTGTGGTACGGGCGCACTGCCACACCGGACTTTATGGAACGACCCCACTCGTGGGATTCAAAATGTCAGAAAATAAACAAAATACACAAACAGAAACAGAAACATATAATTTTACAAATGACGAAAAAAAGGAGAGCAGCTATGTCTTCACACCTAAGTCAAAGCTACTCAGAACACCTCCAAAACCAAGATCCTTGACAGGGGAAAGTGAGACGGAGAACAGTGAAATGGAAAATTTTGTTGAGGACAAAGCAAGAAGCAGTGAAAATGATAACGTTGAAAATGAAGAAGGAGAATATGAAACAGTACAGGCAAAGAAAAAGAGAAAGAGGAAAGGTACTCCAGACCAAAACAAAGACATTGAAACTCTGACAGATGGAAGAGCTTTCAGGAAAGCACTAGATGTACTACTGAAGAACATTAGACAACTAGATAAAATAGTGGGTGTCAGTTATAAACCGAAGAAAGAAATAACAGAAATCTGCAGTAGACTGAAATATCACGCAGACCAAATAGATAAGGAGGATAACAGGAAGTGGTTGGAACAATCCATCAGACAGGAAAACATACCAGCAAAGACAACAACCTCAACAGACTCAGGAACACAAACGACTACACAAAATTATACGGATGCGGTGCCAACTATGATAACTACGGAAACACAAACACTTCCTTGGAGTATGGTAATTGACACCAATTTGCGCACTCTGGAAGGAATTGAGAATTTGGAAGCTTTCGAACTGGTAGAGAATAAAACCTGGACTGAAGACATCTACACAAACACAAACATCAAGATAGGGAACCCCCTTGAAACCCCAGATGAGATAGTCAAGGTAGTTGTTACAGAACCCAACGATCCTAATATGGAGCAAAATATACAAAAAACATATAAAGGGAAATATCCAGAAATAGAAACACTCGAGGGACCAATTGAAGTTATAGAACAAATCACAAGAATCAGATCGAAAGGCCCAGGTCTAACCAAACGTAAGGTAGTGAAAATCACGTATGACGGTACAGATCAAGACTTGTGGAGAAAATTAGAAATGTTAAAAGAAGAAACAGTTGACGAAAAAGTGGCAATACATGAACTAGAGAGTATGACTGCAGTAAGGCAACAGAAAATGATGGAAGCTATTTTCCACGGTTCAAACACGAAAGTTACAATATACACTAGGGAGAAATTAAAGAAAAGCCAGATAAGAAGGCAGAAAAACGAAAAACAGAGAGAAACATATGCTTTAATAGTGCAAGAAGAAAATAAGAGTTATATGGAAGTTTTGAACACATTTAAAAAAATAGCACAAGATAACCCTGCTAATAAGTCAATCAGGAGCTTGAAAAGCACGAGAGATGGAAAGCTCCTAGTCACTGTAGACAGGAATATCGAAGCGATCGAAGAATTACAGAAAGCAGTCGAAAAAGGTTCGAATCGGTGTACATCTAGGAAGGTTGGACTGTCACAACAAACTGAAACAATACATATAAGGGGTTTGGCTGCAGATACAAAAAGAGAAGAAATAATAAATACAGTGAACGATAAGATTGTATGGAATGATGAAACCTGCAAACTTAGTGAACTCAGGCCATATGCAAACGATACCCTAGCAGCCACTCTAGTACTCAAAAAGGAAGATGCTAATAAAATCTTAGTAAATAGGCATCTAACGATAGGAATAGTGAGGTGTCCAGTAGAAAAGAGAATTATACTAAACAGATGTTTCAAATGTTGGAATTACGACCACGAAGCGAAAACATGCGAGGGGCCAGACCGGAGTAAATACTGCTATAAATGTGGAGAAACAGACCATACGTCTAAAGAATGCAGAAATCAAGTAGCATGTCCCCTTTGCGATGAACTGGGCCATAAAGCTGGGACTCTGAAATGTCCATTTTATAAAAGAGCTTTGAATACTGCAAGGAGAAGAGAAAGAATGACTGAAAAACAACAATATGAAACTGAGGAAATAAAGGGTGAGTCTAAAGCGGACGAGAAAGAGGACGAAAATTTGGGTTAATATAATGAAATGGCTACGACAATTATTCATTCACATAGTCGGAATTCACCTGCTGGAGTATTACCTGACCCAAAGACAATAAGATTCCATCAGGTGAATGTGGACAGACACGGCACAGCACACGATATACTGGAACAATCAATATATGAACAAAAAATCGACGTAATCATAGGCCAAGAACCAAACAGAAAGAGAATAACGAAATTATTTTGCGATAGAAGGGAGGACTGTTTCATAAGCATCAACAAACATTTTGAAGTCTCAAAGGTATATAATGATGATGGTTTTGTATGCGTAGAGCTAGAAAATATATATATCTATTCATGCTACTTTTCACCAAACAAAACACTTCAAGAATTCGAGGAATATTTAGATAACCTACAGAGACATCTAGACATGACCAGAGCAAAAGAGCGAATTATTGGAGGAGATTTCAACACGAAGTCGCTGGTTTGGGGATCAAGAGTTGCCAATGAAAGGAGCCAAGTCCTTGAAGAGTTTATAGAAACAAATAACTTGTTAGTCATTAATATAGGAAACACTCCTACTTTCCAAAACGCAAATGGAGCCTCTATAATAGATATTACTCTAGCTTCACCGGCAATCAGTAGAAAAATACAGGATTGGAAGGTTGAAGAAGAATTGGAAAACATGAGTAATCACCGGACAATCAGTTTCAAAGTGTCATCACATCAAAATAATAAGAAACAAACTGAGAGATTAACTGGCTGGAAAATAACACCAAACGCGATAAAGAACTTCAAAGAGAATTGTCGAGATATAGTGATACTAGAACAAGACGCGAATAGAGCTGCAGTGGAACTAGTGACAAAAATATCAAAGAAATGCGAAAAATACCTCACGAAAAGACAACATCCCAGACAACTACACCCTCCTACATATTGGTGGAATAATGACATAGCAGAGAAGAGAAAAACATGCATCAGATATCGGAGAACTCTAACACGGCTAAAAAAGACATCAAATAGGGAGCACGTGATAGAACAGATCAACAGGGAATACAAAAACAATAAACTAGAACTCAAAAAGGCAATAATGACGAGTAAGAAACTATGCTGGAAAAACCTTTGTACAGAGCTGAATGAAGACGTATGGGGAAAAGCATACAAAATAGTAACAAATAAGCTGAACATTAAACCAAAAATAACTCTGACTTCACAACAGGTGAACGATGAGATAACGAAACTTTTCCCAGAACATCCCACTTTTGACTGGCCAGAAATACACATTGAAGAAGAAAGCATAAACGAATTCACTATCGAAGAAATAAAAGAAGCCTGTATACAGATAAAAACTAGGAAAGCGCCAGGTCCAGATAATATTCCACCAGAAGTAATAAAAACATTTATTGAAGAGAACATTCAGCAAACAACGGCAGTAATGAACAAGTGCCTGAAACAAGGCATTTTTCCAGATAAGTGGAAAAGAGCGAAATTAGTCCTAGTACCGAAACCAAAAAAAGACCCACAAGCCCAAACAAAACATCGACCTATAAGTCTAATTGATGTCATAGGAAAGTTTCTAGAAAGACTCATAAAGACCCGACTAGAAAATGAACTGACAGATGGAAATGCCATAAGTAGCAGCCAACATGGATATAGAAAGGGGAAATCAACAATAACGGCACTGGAAACAGTGCAAAATATTAAAGATACCGCAAGAAGGACGGAAAGCTGCTGTATCATGATTACAATTGATATCGAAAACGCTTTCAATTCAGCACCATGGAAGGCAATAGTAAAAGCGTTGAAGAAAGCTGAAGTAAGCGGATATCTGATTAGAATAATCCAGTCATATCTGAAAGACCGATATATATGGAAATATGATGGCGGAATCAAAAAAATCTCATGTGGAGTCCCACAGGGTTCGGTACTAGGACCAATATTATGGAATGTCTTTTATGATGATATTCTCAGGATTGATATTGGAAAAAGGGTCAAACTAGTTGCATACGCAGATGACTTGGCAGTCACAGTAACAGCAAAGACAAGGGAACAAACAGAAGAAACAGCACAACATGCTATAAACATAATAGTGAACAGACTGGAGGATATGGGGCTCAAAGTGGCAGTAGGTAAAACAGAAATTGTGGCACTAGCAGGGGAAAGAAAAATGAGCGACTCGTCTATCAGAGTAGAAGATAAGAGTATCCGCATGGCGGAGGAAATAAAATATTTAGGAGTGTATTTAGACAAGGGAATGACGATGAAAACACATGTCAAAAAAATCTGTGAAAAAGCAAACGAAGTCATAAACAACCTAACAAGAATAACATCAAATATAGGAGGACCTACTGCAAGCAAGAAAAGAGTACTTATGACCGCAGTCACATCAATAATACTGTACGGAGCGCCAACGTGGGAAAGAGCTCTCAAATTCAAGAAGTATGAAATGATGCTCGAAAGAATAAACAGGAGAATGGCAATAAGAATAACTTCCGCATATAGGACGGTTCCCACAACTGCAGTACTTGCTATTGCAGGAATCGTCCCTATCAAGCTCAGCGTTGAAGAAAGGACTAACATATACCGAAGAGGGCAGGCACACGTGAGAGAAGAGAAAGAAGATACCATAACGAAATGGCAAACAATATGGGAAGCTTACGGAGGGTGGACCAAGGTTTTTATAAAAGATATAAAAAAGTGGCAAGAAAGGAAATGGGGAGAGGTAGACTATTTTCTAACTCAAGCATTCACTGGGCATGGAGTTTTTGGAGACTATCTCCACAAAATAGGAAAAGCAGAAAATGATGGATGCTGGTATTGCGATAATCCAGATAATGCAAAACATACACTTTTTGAATGTGTGAGATGGAAGGACATAAGGGGACATGCTAACACAGCTTGTGGGGCAGTCATAACTGAAATAAATATTGAAGAAATTATGATGCGGAGTGAGAGCTTGTGGAATGAGGTAACGGGGATGTTGAAAAAGATTATGAAGGAAAAAACAAGGGAAGAGAGGATAATCCGATCGATAACATAGACCTCTGGTTTCGTTCTGAAGTAATGCCTATGGCGGTTTCCGGAACGTCTCTAGTGAACAACGAGGTGGGTTTTGGTGAGGTAGGCAGGATTTTGCATACACGAAATCCTGAGTCCCACACTCCCTGACGTGATAGACTCAGAGCGCAGGGGTAGAACATGAGTTTTTCCCACCCGACAAAAAAAAAAAAAAAAAAAAGATAGATAGATAGATAGATAGATAGATAGATAGATAGATAGATAGATAGATAGATAGATAGATAGATAGATAGATAGATAGATAGATAGATAGATAGATAGATAGATAGATAGATAGATAGATAGATAGATAGATAGATAGATAGATAGATAGATAGATAGATAGATAGATAGATAGATAGATAGATAGATAGATAGATAGATAGATAGATAGATAGATAGATAGATAGATAGATAGATAGATAGATAGATAGATAGATAGATAGATAGATAGATAGATAGATAGATAGATAGATAGATAGATAGATAGATAGATAGATAGATAGATAGATAGATAGATAGATAGATAGATAGATAGATAGATAGATAGATAGATAGATAGATAGATAGATAGATAGATAGATAGATAGATAGATAGATAGATAGATAGATAGATAGATAGATAGATAGATAGATAGATAGATAGATAGATAGATAGATAGATAGATAGATAGATAGATAGATAGATAGATAGATAGATAGATAGATAGATAGATAGATAGATAGATAGATAGATAGATAGATAGATAGATAGATAGATAGATAGATAGATAGATAGATAGATAGATAGATAGATAGATAGATAGATAGATAGATAGATAGATAGATAGATAGATAGATAGATAGATAGATAGATAGATAGATAGATAGATAGATAGATAGATAGATAGATAGATAGATAGATAGATAGATAGATAGATAGATAGATAGATAGATAGATAGATAGATAGATAGATAGATAGATAGATAGATAGATAGATAGATAGATAGATAGATAGATAGATAGATAGATAGATAGATAGATAGATAGATAGATAGATAGATAGATAGATAGATAGATAGATAGATAGATAGATAGATAGATAGATAGATAGATAGATAGATAGATAGATAGATAGATAGATAGATAGATAGTTTTATTGATCCAAATACGAGCTTATAAAGCTATAGGACAGGTCAGCACAAAGTACATGTATAAATAAAATGTTTCTCAAAAGTTAACAAACAATAGGAATGTAGATTAAAAGAAAAGGAGAAAATATCTGAACAATAATAATTATCGATGATAAATTTCAGGTAAAATATTCTTCATAACAATAAAATAAAATTATTGAAAATCATACATCAAAAATGTTCAAAGTATTCGTCAAGATTGTATGAAGTAATACCCAGTAAAAAACGTTTGTTTTTTTTCTGATTATATGCACTTGTTCAATTGCTTTGAGCTCACTGGGAAGTACATTGTATAATCTCAGTCCTATCACGTTTAGTGATTTTTGGCAGATGGTGAGATGTGGATTTGGTAAATGGAAGTCTTTTTTTTTCCTCGTGTTGTAATTGTGGTGTTGATTATTCGTGGAAAATAATTTTTTATTCGCGTGGATGTATGTAATTATATATATAACATTTCAATTCTGAGTAATCAAATCATGCCAAGTTTTTTCAATCAAATTCTCCTGACCAGGTATTGTTCAAGATTGTGTTTGAATCTTCTTAGATCATTAAAATTTTTCAATTAATTTGGTAATGAATTGTATAAAATTATTCCATTATCAAATACAGATTGTTTGCCAATGTTCGATTTGAATGTATTTGCTATCAAGTAATTCAATTGTCTAGTCACATACCACTGAAAATTTTATCCAAATCGGCTGAAGCGTTTTCAAGATATGAATAAAACACTCATCTGTTTGTTTAACTTGAACACCCTTTTCGGGCTCTTGTTCATATTAACTTTTTCTGTATTTTATGCTTTTA